TCCTCCTCTGGCCATTCAGCTAGCGCAGGGTATTCAAAGTGCCGTCAATGATGAAACGAAATGCCAGACTAATTACATTAACTGTCAGGGTAAGTTCTTCTTTGACTCAATCAAATCCAGACAACACTCGACTCTGTTGAGCAATATTTAGAGGCAAATCAACGTGGACCGTAAAACAGCAGGTGCGCCTGCAGCAGCCTGCAACAGTTCTTGAGATGCTCAAATTGGCTCTAAAGCTGGGTGGGCACAAGGCGGAGGCTCAACTGTTTATGCATTTCCCTAATGAAATGCAAAGAAAGACCAAAATGGGGCTCAAAAATGCCCAAACGCAGTTTACAGAATATGAAAATCCGCCCCCTTTTCCGTACCACGTGCCAGGCCAAACGAAAACATTTACAAAAGCTCTTGTTGAGTGGTAATTAAATATTTAATTTCTCTTCAGCTATTTGTTTTGATTAATAGCCAAAAAGCCAGAAACCGAAAACTGTGCAGCCCTTGTTGTGAGTTCTGTTGTGCTCTGTTTGTTTAAAATATTTTTCAATTTTTCAATTTGTTTGTCTTTTGTATTTATACCCTATGCAGAGGATATTCTGAGTTTGTCAGCCTTTGTGTTATGCATGTTAGCCGTAAACTCGGAATCTTACGGATCGTAATACTATGTCGCAAAGCTGCATTGAATCCTATGGATCGTTATACTATATCACTAGGCCGACATAGATATTTTGTGCTAGTTTTTGTTAACTTGTATTGACAAAAGTTTGCAGTAGAGTATTGATTGTGCGGTTAATTGTTCAGAATTTTTGCCTTTTCTTATTGTATTTGACTTTTAGATTTGCTTTAATTTCGATAATGTGTTTTTCCATTGGATTGTGGTGGAAAAAAGAACGAATTTTTATTTGATTTGCGTTTTCTCAGATAACTTAAATCAATTGCTGAGAATATAAACAATTGCCTTAACAGTACTTTAGCTCTTCTTGGCAGCTAAAGTAACTTAGCTTTTGATATATTTTCTTGTATTATTACGATTACTTTTATATTTTTGGATATTCTCATACCAATCTTAGATAAGTCTTAAAACCTCAATCCAAAATCTCTTGCATTTGAAGATTCAAGTTAATTGAAAAGTGTTTGGGAATAGTTTGTTATTCTTGGAGTGCATGCTTCAAGGCGCCAACAGGCGATAAAACATGTCTGCCAAATGCATTGAAACAGTTCGCACATGCAAAATAGCCAGCACTCGGCGCAGACGAGTACACCACATCATTATGGGACCACAGGGAGCAACTGACTCCAATGGACTCCAAAACTCTAGCTGGGTGCGTAGCAAATGTCGCCACAACGTCGGGGATGCAGTCGCTGCACCGAAGCATCATTAACTCAATTTTGTGTGCGGGGGCTGGAGCGCAACTTAATGTGCAGCCGGGGAGCAGCCAGAGCAGTCATTGCTCCAATGGCCAACATGGACACACCAATTATCCAAAATGCCAACACATGCAACAACAGCACAGAAAGCAAAAAAAAAGGAGACAAAAACGGGTGCTCGGGGGCAAAAAAATTGAAACAAAAACCTATCGGTTGGGCGTATTGTGGCTGCTACACCAAAAAGGAGATTGCGCTTTTGCGGTTGTGTTAAGTTGATTTCCGGCACGTCTGTTGCTTCACTTAAAACCAGTCCGGCTCCAGCTGGACAAAACGCCGCATGACTTCAAGATGCACAGCGGCAATTATGCGTGCTGTCATCGTCATCATCATCGTCACCATCGTCATCATCGTCATCATTGTCATCATCGTCACTGGTCAACGTTACATTCATAAACAGACGTAGCCCCATTATCAACGGTGTAGGTGTTTAGACACGCCCCCATCGTCGCCGCTGTCAAATGCATTGATGTGCGTACTAACCATCGTGGCACAGTGGAACACGCTACCAAATATTAAACAGCAGCGCGATAAAATGCTCTTTAAGAATATATATATATATAAAATAAATATTCTACTTTCTAAATAACACAACTACCTTTGTCCCCAGAGGGACAATACTCATGGATATTCATCCATGTCGACTCGGGCTCAAGTTGTATACCCTTGCTGGGGATATTAAAGTTCTGTCATGATATGTGTTAAGCATATATATTCCAGATCAGCATCAACAGTCCAGTTGATAGGGCCATGTCGGTCTGTTCATCTGTCTGTCCGTCTGTTTGCTTAAATGTACACTAGCCTCAAAGTTTAATCTTTTGTTTCTTTCTGTTACAGAATCTTTACTATGCTCTCTACATAAATGTAAATCTTATCAACATCGGACTACTATATATAATATAGCTGCCATAGCAACGTTTGGTCTAAAAGTAGGTTCTGTTATCCATGATATTTGCATCAAACTCAGCTAGGGTAGTAAGTCTTCAGCGTACCGAAATTATCCCAACTTTCTCGTTTCGTGCCTTGTGCCTTTTTTTGCCTTTAGATTGACTTGGTATTCTTATTGGAATCAGTTTCACTTTTCATTTAAAATTTTGTATGAATTAAATTTTTATATACCATTATTAGATTAGTTTGTGAATACCTTTTCGGTCTATTTAATTTTATACGGATTCTAATGCATTTGGCATACTGTACGTTATCTCGTGTCTGGTTGAACCCACACCCTGCCTACTGAGGTGTGCTGTAAATTATACGGCTTTGCGTTTAGCCTTCGTAACCTCGAAGTTGCCCCTGCCACGGCCCTGGTCGAGGTCCAACCAACCATTTGCCTGCTGCTGCAACGCAGTTTGATGTTTTGCGGTTGTGTTGATGCTGTTGATGCTGTTGACGTTGTCAACGTTGGCGACGTTGTCGTAGGCCTATCCGAAAATACTGTGGTGCACCGTTTTTGGCTTGGCTTTAAATATTCAAAGTGTGCTTTTAGGCGCTGGCATGTGGCACGTTAAGAGCCTGGCTATTGTCTCCTTTGCCAATTAATGAGATTTTTACTTGAAAAACCATGTCAAGACAACAACTGGAACATGTCAGGCATATAAGGTTAACAATTTAAAGCCAACTCATGTGGAAAAAAGCTTGAAATAGAGTTATGTTGCGTAGGTTTTTGAATACTACTACATTTATGTACATGTACAATAGTTTGATTAAAGAAATTGCTCTTGAAATATGAAACAATATTTGTGTTTAGTTTCTATCATTTAACATTCGCTCTCCAATTGGTGTGCTCCAAAGATTTGCTTGGGCGCCCTTGTAACTCAATTACCAACTCCCCGTTTCCCTAAACTCTTTGATCAAATGTGTCAATTGCTGACACCTGCAAGTTTCCACACAATTTTTTCCCCTTTTCTTTCTTTATTAGACCCCTTTGTGGTTGCGACACCCCAGGGGCAAACGCTTTGAGAGTTCGCAAAATGCGGTGGCATTTGAATAAACCACTTGGCTTGGCTTTGCATGCGGAGACACTGAGACTGGGCGAGTGAACCAATCAAACCAAATATTTTGCAGCCACACGGGTTGACACAAGAAAAACTTTCACACTCGCCCGTGTGCTGCGACGTGTGCCCCACGACGTTGCATGGCTGGCATTTGGTTGCCTTAACCTTTATTTTCATTAGCCATCCGACTAAAGCTGCAGCCGGAGCATCAGCTACAGCTTCAGCTGCAGCTGCAGCTGTCATCTTGCAACCTAGACGAACGAGACCAAACCAAACCGAGCCAAACCAAACCGAACCAAACCAAAACCCAAGCAAGCCAGCCAGTTATCCAGTCAGCTAACCGCAACGCTGTTGGAGCCACTGTCATTTGTTATGTTATTGGTTTGGACATTTTGCAAATTGCTTATTTAGCAGTGCGTAAAATCCACAGCACACACACACACACACACACTCACACACTCACACACATACACACAGCGATTCTAGTATCTAGTATCTATCTAGTCTCCATCTCACTATTTTTTTACTCTAGCTCCAGGGACACACACTCACACACACATGTCAAGTGTGTGGCGTCTGTTATTCTCTGCTCTTCACGTCTGCCTTTTGCAAATACCCTGTAACCGAACAAGTGCCTAAAGAGGTTGTACCTCTGTGTGTTGACAGCTGAATTTATTAATTGTGAATTCGTAATATCACTGAGTGGGACTTTGGAAATCCACGCTCACGCTCGTAAAATGGGTGGAAAACTTTAACTGTTTTTTGGTTTTACAATTAATTGACTCACTTTTCAAGATCTCTGCATTTAAGATGTGGCTTACCATATTGTAAAAGCTCTACAGAAACAATTAATTGGTAGGTCTTCTGTGAATTCATTTATGAAATCCGCCGCAACGCGTGGAAAATCGAGTTAAAAGAAGCAATTCCAATATTTTAATAATTATTTCAATTTAAGATTGTACTCATGCTACAGCTGTGAAAAATTTTAAGAGATGAGTACGAGATATGCCCGAATATATCATCGCCGGCCGCACAACTCGTGTCTTTACCCGCTGTAACTTTCATTAGGCGAGAACCCTTCAGTTAACAGCGTGTCATGCAAGTGGTTAGTTGTTCCCATCTATTATCAGTTCAATGTCAGAAAAAAGAATGAAAAAAAAGGGGGAAAATTTTGAAAAAGGCCTGCGAGTTATATGGGCAAGTGTTCGAATAGAGCTCGGTACATTTTTGGCACTTGTCATCCAAAGGGCTTTTCCCGTCCATAATAATATTTGGTTTTCATTCTGTGCTCCTCTGTTGCCCTGCTGCTTGATTTTGCATGCTGCCTAATTGCCTGGCTACGTTTTACATCGTGTCTTTGTGGTCATAAAAGTTTTTATGGCTAATATTCTGTGTGTGTGAGCTCTTTTAATTAGACGAGCGAACCATTAAAACTGATCGATTGCATATTAATTGAGTTTTTTCGACTGGGCATAAAATGAATTAAAGCTTTATGACTGCGATTCGATCTTAAATTTACAATTTATATGCCTATTTCTATAATCTTTATGCCAATAATTTTTTTTAATAATCTTTATCTTTTTGCAGTTGCGTTGAACTGAAGCAAGCTGCAATCGTCGATTGTGGGCGTGGCTAAATGTTATGTAATCTCGCTACAGCGTTTTGCAATAAATGAGTCTGTATATGTGCCATAGAAGACATCTGATAATGTGTATTAATAAATTTATGATTTAGTTCTAAAAGAAACACAATTGACGTTCGTTTTCTTTTTCAATCTTTACAGCTCGCAAACCTTTTTAGATAAAGTCAAAATAAATCGGAATGAATAATAAAGTAAATGAGAAAAGTATATAGATTGGGCAATAAATGAAATCTGATGATTAGGCTTCAGCCGGACATTTGATAAGTTAAGAGCATGCTTATTTTAAGAAAATACAATAAACAATACAAAATCTGAGCCGTGATATTTATTTTCCCTGACAAGGTGTCAAAATATCGTTCGTTAAGAAGAAATGAAAATAAATAGCGCATATTTATGGATTAAATTGTGTATTTAAATATGCTCTCAATATTCTAAAAATATTTGCACTTATTTACAAAAAATATATATATATTTTATTTCACTTTCTTTACAAGGATATTTTTAAAATTTCTAGACTTTATATACATTTTTTATAAACAAGTTCTCGGAATTCACAGATCTTATGCCATGTGCACAAACATGAAAGCTTTTGCCTCTACGTAAGCACATTCGAATATTCTCTGAATAATTTCGGCTGCATTTGTTTGGCTGAACGCTGTATATTCAAGTTCCACCACCAAAAAAGCAAATCAATTTAAATTCAATGGAAGTCAACTACCAAAGTTAACTTAGTTCTATGCCCCGGCACCCACTCGAGCAACTGGGGAGCAGCTCACAAGTTTGTCGCCAGCAAACAAATAACAACAAACCTAAACTTTTTATTTTGGGCGAGAGGAGTTTCGGGGCCGGTACCAGGCTCAGATGCTCCCATAAAAGGCAACAAGAAACAGTTGCCCACCCTAGTACATAGCCGTTAACAGAAAAGCCTTAAGGCTCTCTCTGACAAAGTCGAGCGGCAGCAAATAGAAAAAGTTGTTGCGACTTTTTAAATTGAAAATAAGCTGCCAGGTAGTTGCAGGTAGCAAAGATTAAGCGTGGAATTTAAGACTATTAAAATAAAAATAATTGGCATTAAGATGACTGACGGAAAACTACCCTGTTCGGTGGAATAAATGTGTGAATATCTTAAGTGGATAAAAGTTAATTGTAGAAAATAGTTTCTCAAATTAATTACGTGTTAACTGGGATACTGCGCGCTTTATTTTAGTTACATATTAACTGTAATTTATCGCCATTATCAAAAGATTTCTTTTACAGCTTACGGATGACTGAGCTAGGAAATCAACTAAGGAGAAATTTCCTTAAACTTTTTCTAAACAAAAGTATTTTATTAAATATATTATATTTGATATTTGATATATGATATTTGATTCTGCGAAATGTAAATCAAAATAATAATAAAATAACAATAATTATATTTATATGTGACTTCTTTTAGCCGGAATTTTCGGATATTTAACTCTGTTCAAAATAAATATAAATAATAACATTTAAGAAAGTTTCTTTTAATCACAATTTTCGGTTATCCGTAATCAAGTTTCAACTTATAACTTTACATAGGCGATAAGTTAAGTTTCCCCTGCCTTTTAATATTATAAACACCCTTTCTTGCGCATACTCTGCATACAGAGTATAGAAAGAAAAAAATCTTTGGCACTTGTGCCTTAATAATCACTTTAATTACAATTAAAATGAAACCCTAAACGACTTTGCTATTGTTGCTCCTGCTGCTGCTGCTGCTGCTGATACTATGAAGATGAATGACTGGCCATTCATTAGCTGGGCATCGGGGGTCAGCGGAAGTCAGCGGGGATATGGATGGATACTTGAGCTTCACGTTCAAAGTCAAAGTCGCCATGCTATTATAATGCTAATGACGTTTAATCGTTTTTAGTGAGCGATTTTCTCAGTTCAGCGGGCGCGAGGGAGCGCTTAGTTAATTAGCATAAAGTTAAAACGTTTTGCGGCCTGGCAGTTGCACAACTTTTGACGATTGCTATTAAAAAAGAGTTGCCTTCTAGGGCAGCACATTTTAAACATATCGAATTGCCGGTTCGTCTATTTAATGCGCGTTGTACTCAAGAGGATTTGAACTTTTAACATTTCATTAAAGTCGATAAAAAGTTGGACTAAATAATATCATGAGCCACGATTGACATAATAGTATTAACTCCAGAACTAAAGTTAAAATCAATAAACATTTAAATATTTGAACTTTGATGTTAAAGAGAGTCGAGCTCGAAGGGTTTTGTTTATTTCATAAAATTATGATTTTAAAAATGGGGCAACAACATTTTTAGCCAATAACTTTTTACCATTAAAAACGATTTAAGATTTGAAATTAAGAATACTATAATTTCTAAACCTCAAATAGAAGAAATTGTACTCTTAAATATTAGGATCTTTAAGGGAGTCAAGTTTGATAAAGGTTTTTATTACTTGGACTTATTTAACATCATTTGCTGTTGTTAGCCTTAAGAACTGTGCCTTTTTATTGAATTTGGACACTGAAATAATAAATATGGAAACAGGTACAATGCTTGGGGACATGCATAAAAATCCATAATGAAATTGTGCAGAAACCAAACGCAAGCCCGCACTGCCTGCAGCCACGCCCACCAATACTGGCCGCACCTAGGTGTACTGGCAAATGGCCATAGGCTCCAGATGGATATGAGCAAGGAAGCATGTCACATGCAAACACATACACACACACACACATACACATGCACACACACAGAAGCATTCACACAGCGAATGCAATGATGGCCGCAGTGGAACCGAAGCATCTCCTCATTCGAGCTCCGGTCTTGGCTCCTGCTCCCTGGTCCGATGCTGTTTGCATTTTCCGCATGAAATTGACGTTTCATTTGTTATAATATGCATTGAGGCAACATTTCGATGCTCATAAATATTTAACAGACATTCATCTGTTGGGAGAAACGTTAAAGGCGACTGAGTTGGGAGCTGGCGGACAGGCTGCTGCCTGTTGCAACAGGATATGCGGATATCGCATGGATATTGCGATACAGATACACATATTCGTAGATACATATCCATGTGGATACGTGTGCATACACATTATGGCTATAAAAAAAACAACTCAAGGTTCAGCCCACCATCGCTCACTTTTCACGTCTGAGCATGGGCGTTGACATGTGCAGCCCAAAAACAAAAGCAAGAAAATAAAGAAAAAGGCACACAAGAGCCAACAACACGTTTCAGCTCAAAGTATCAGACGGTCAACGTTGTCAAGTGCATTAACTATTAATTGAAGCTATTAAACAGCGCGTCAAGAAGTTTCTACCAATTTTATGTACTTGCAACTCCTCTGAAAGCAAGCTTAATAATACCTGGGATGAGGTATACATTTGAGGTCAGCTTATATCATTTTATCATCTTTAATATTATTGCCATATCATTCATGCGAATGCAACCTCTCTGCAACCAACTTGCTTGTATATAAATTCGCACATTGAAAGCAATAAAATATCCTAAACATTCAAGAAAATGGTTTTAAAAAAGAAAAGGTCTTGTATAGTTATAAAAACTTTTTTCTTACTTAAATCAATAGACTCAAAATATGTATTTAAATTTAAGAATATTGTTTTAGTAAATTAAAATCAAAAAACAAAATTTCATTTTATGCCCACTTTCTAAACTTTTGAAAGAAATGTGTTTGGGATAACTTCACAGAATTTTTTTTTAATTTTTAAACTTTTTCATGTAATGTCGATTTTCGGCGACGTTTTTCTCAAATCTTGTAACTGTGTTCCTTGGAAACTGGAAATTACCATGTCTTACATATGTAGCTTGAAAATATGTAAGATTAGGTTTCAGACAAAATTTTCTAAAATTTCCTCCATTAAGATAATTTTTAATTTCATTTGTTCATAAAATGTCGATTTTCTAACTTTCTAGACAACTTTTTTTTTCAGTTTTTGTTTTCATTTAAAAACTGGGATTAAGCTATCCTACATATACAGAGAGAAAAATGTGTAAAGTTAGTTCTCAAACTAATTGAAAAGCAGCTCTCATCTGGCTGATAAGAAACTCAGCTTGTTGCCCTGAGCAAAGAGGCCTACTTTTCTCTAAATCTCTTATTTGGTCTTAATTTTCTACCCCAGTTGTTCTCTGACATGATTTTGAGAGAACAGAAAACTTATGTTTAGCTTGGCGGCTTTAGGTTGGTAAACGTTTCAGAAGAGCTCGCAAAGAAAAATGTCAAATAATTGCAATTGGCAAAATGTGTAACACTTCTCTAACGATCGCCTTTGTACATTTTTCAACAGCTGACTGCAACATATGGGAGCCTTTCAAAAACGGCAGCACCTGCTCGTTTAGTATAGTACATCCATATTTTTCCTTGGGCTGCTACCTTGTTAAAATGGAGCCTCACACGCGCTGTTTTTTTCTGTTAAATCGCAACAATCAGCGCTAATTGGAAATTTAACAGTTCATAAAAAGTTTTTGGCGCGCCAAAGCTCCCCTATCGACGCCCGACGTCGATTCTGCCTGCCAGGGCTGCCCAGCTCCACACCCAACCAACCAACTAACCACTCCCCCTTCGACTATGCTGGCAGTCGCAGTCGAGTTGTTGACCCAAATATCACGCTTTATGAAGCTGACGACTCGCAGCTCGGGCATTTGCTAAGCTTCTGCCTCACTGGCGCTGAGGTGGGGGGAGGGGGGTCTGAGGGGGTATTGGGAGTGCGAGGGGCTGGCTCCGCAGTGATGGAAAGTGCCTTGAAAGCAGCAGGGTTCATGCCGGCATGGTTTACACCTGCTTCTATTCAGACATCACAAACACACACACACACACGCACACACATTAAAAAACTATCAGCGTGTGTTTCATTTCACTTTTGTGCCCGCTGCTTGGAGCTGCGAGGCATGAGACTAGATGGAGAGGAGGTGTTGTGGGATTTTTCCAATGTTTTTGCGCTCGAGGATAACACTAATTTCGCACCACTAATTACAGTTCTTTTTTATGCCCCCCCCTCAACCCACACTCCCAGGCGCTGCTTTCATCCATTCGCTTATTGGGCCGACTT